TATGTCTGAGATAAATGGAAAAAGTATGTCTAGGCAGAGGGATTGGAGTGGAGTTGAACCCTATTTCTCTTTTGTTATTTTATGTTTTGTTTGAGCTGTAATTGGAACAATATTTGTGGATATAAATATTGCAGAAAGTCTGAAAACTATATAAAGTTTTGTGTTACTCCATACACAAGGGCTGATTTCTAAATATAATAAAGTATTTATTTTGCATATAGCTTGGGTCTCTTGTTTGTGTCTGAAACCAGGGCAGGGGCAGTACAGAAAGGTAGAGAAAAGCCAGCCAGCTTTTCCATGGCCATTACGACACGCTAGCCTCAATCAATCCAATCCATCAATTGTCAGGATTTGTATGCTATTTCATCTACATTGTATTTATAAACTCAACCCTGAAAAAGGGGGAGCCCTTTTTGTTTTTAAATGGCTGGATCTGATGTTCTTACCAAATGCATATTTTAACTAATTTCAAGTGAGATAGAAGTTTGTACTGGGGCCTCTTAGCCACACACCCAAAAGAGAAAAAGACAGCCCCTTTCTGTGTTTTTTTTTTCCATAATATTTTATTAAAAAATATGAAAGACAATACAAAAACCATCCAGCAAAGGTAGATATAGCGATCTAAGACAAATGGATACACAAACAAGACGTTTTGGCATATCTGTTACAGGATGCATTACAAGCTGGTTAGTAAATAACAGAACAGTAACAAAGGGGAGCATCTGCCCATACAAGAAATATAATAAGGGGTAGGAAGCAACATAGAATGCATTACATTATTTATGTAATTATTGCCCCTGCAATGGGGTTGGTAAGGGTTCAAAGCCTGTGTTAAGGGGCAAAATACATTGTACTGGTTATTCAGGGGTGTGGGGGAGAAAAGAAAAGGAGGGGGCCCCCGGGAAATGCCGGCCTGCCCACCATCTTTCAGGCAGGTAGTAAAAGCCTGATAAGGAGGACTACAGATTACAAGCCCTCAGCATGGCTTTTGGGAAGAGCGGTGCTGCACAAATCGTAGTCCTTAAATATCTGGTCCAAGTGGACAGATATGAGGACATGGTTTCTCTACTCGTGTGTACTGGTTACTCCAGCACTCCTACCTGATCAATTCGGCTAAACCAGTCAGAGATCTCTGGGGTCTTAGTGGGTTTCCAGAATCTGGGGATGAGAGTTTTGGCAGTGTTAAGTAAGTGAATGGTAAGGGAACATTTATATTTCTGTGTGTTGACTTTTTGTTAAGGCAGCATATTTTTCTCCAGAGCAATGTAAAACATGGTTAAAAAAAAGCAAGCAGTTGTCTAACTTTTCATCTTTAAACAGAAGTACAGTGGTTTTTAAATTTGTTTCATTATCTTTGGCAGATAAAGATGAACTACTACATAATTATATTATGTAGCCTGTTATGCCATCGGCAGGTGAAACTTTAGTCTCCTTTTCTCATGTGAAGTATTGCACCACAAGTATAGCTATGTGTTTATGTGAATTGCGTTATTACCCTATTAAACATGCATTACCACAGCACTATAAAGCCCATTTTGTTAACTCAGTACTGTGTAGAGCACAATATGAAAACTGTGTGTTTTTTCCCCTGCAAATGCTTTCCTGTGTCCATTACAATACTTTTCAAGTGACAGATGTACAGGTGCATTAATAATAAAGTGTTTATTTAGGATTCCCCAGTGCTGCTGCAGGTCCTCTGCCCCGCTCTGGCTGTATGGGTTCCCTCACTTCCCATGTCCCTTTGATTAAAACATAGAGCTACATTCCCAAAAAAAAAAAAGCAAAGTAGGAAAATAGTATAATTTATGAACATTTATCATTGGTAATATACACCAGTGTATGGAATTTCTTACACTGGCTGGTACCTAAACCTCTGCACATGCATACAAAGATATGCATGTGTGCAGTACAATACCTTTCCATGTACTGTTCACTGGCATTTTAACAATAATTTTTTTTTTTTTTTTTCTTTGATGGTTGTGCACACTTGATGCAGGTTTATTCTTACATTGTGTATTTTTACACATGCTATGATTTGTGCTTTTAAATATGCTATGGTTTATGCATTTAAAAATGCTAAAAGATGTTAGATATACCTAAAAATATTGGGAGAAAGATTAAAAATAAATTTTTAGGCACATTGTCTCAGCTGATGAATTATTATTGTATTTAGCTTTAGGTGTAACTACTACAAGACAACTCTAATACTATTTACCCAAGTCTGATTTTTGTTTTTTAGTGTGCACTTTCTTTATAGAAGGAAAAAAATAATGTACACCCTGTTCCAAATTATTATGCAAATTATATTTAAGTGTCACAAAGATTAAATATTTTGTTTTTTCAGTTTAACTCATGGATGGCATTGTGTGTCAGGGCTCTTTTGATTACTGAAAACAATCTTGGACACCTGTGATAAATAGATTGGCAGATGAGCCCAATTTAAGGAAAAACTACTAAAGGAGGGTGTTCCACATTATTAAGCAGAGCACCATTTTCAAGCAATATGGGGAAGAAAAAGGATCTCTATGCTGCTGAAAAGAGTGAAATAGTTCAATGCCTTGGAAGAGGTATGAAAACATTAGATATGTCACGAAAACTTAAGCGTGATCATCGCACTGTTAAGAGATTTGTGGCTGATTCAGAGCACAGACGGGTTAGTGCAGATAAAGGCACATTGAGGAAGATTTCTGCCAGATCCATGCCTCGGATCAAGAGAGCAGCTGCTAAAATACCATTACATAGCAGCAAACAGATATTTGAAGCTGCTGGTGCCTCTGGAGTCCCACGGACATCAAGGGTGTAGAATCCTCCAGAGTCTTGCAACTGTGCATAAACCTTCTATTCTGCTACCACTAACCAATGCTCACAAGCAGAAACAGCTGCATTGGGCAATAAAATACATGAAGACTAATTTTCAAACAGTCCTGTTCACTGATGAGTGCCGTGCAACCCTGGATGGTCCAGATGGATGGAGTAGTGGATGGTTGGTGGACGGCCACCCTGTTCCAACAAGGCTGTGACATCAGCAAGGCGGTGGCGGAGTCATGTTTTTTGGACCGGAATCATGGGAACAGAGCTTGCAAACAAATTCAAGCAGAAATTGTCCAAAAACTCACAAGTTCAATGGATGCAAGACTTGTGAAGCTGCTATCAAATAAGGGTCCTATGTTAAAATGTAACGTGACCTGTTAAAATGTTTAAAACGTTAAAATGTTGTTAACAGTTTGAAATAGCTTTTGATTTCAGTAAATATGCTGCAAACACAACAAATGACATTTTTTTCAGTTCTTTACAACCTATAAAGTGTTTTCAAACTTACTATGCGTAATAATTTGGAACAGTGCATTGTAAGTTTTTTTTATGTTTAAAAAAAATACTGTTATTAGGAGGTTTATTCAATAAAATTTGAATTGTACTCTTAATAGTTAATAACATGAGAATTATGCTGACTGTTATTTACATCAATTATTTAGGTAAATGAGAAAAATATTATTTGCATAATAATTTGGAACAGGGTGTAATTAGGATTGGGCAGTCTACTCAGGTACCGTAACAGCATATAAAAAAAAAAAAAAAAAAAATATATATATATATATATATATATATATATCTTTGCATGTGCTTAGCTAAGCTTACTAGTAGTTCTATCTGCTGCTGTCCATTTATTCTGTACAGCTTAGTACAGTTATTTTCAACCAGGATTCCGTGGAACCTGAGATTGCTTATGTTTTTTTGAGCTGTGTCCACTTGGCAGAAGCAGATGCATGACCAATGGTCTTTTTAGCTGTCTGTAAGATTTGCATTCTGACAATACTTGTATGGCAGGACTTCACTGCCAACCAATGTAAGGGATATTTTTTTTTTCTACTGGCTCTGAATTAATTGGTTTTAGTAGTGGTTTCCCAAGACCTTAAATTATTTTAAGGGTTTTTTTTGGGTTAATATAAGGGTTGTGAAAGGCTGGCTTAGGGTAACCTAAATGCTTGCTTTTATATTGTGGACAGATTATTTTAGACAAACCCTAAGCCTAGCTGTATATAGAAAAATATCTAATCGAACATGATCAATGGGCATTAAAATATTTGCTTGTACTTGATTACAGAGATCCTCTGCTCCTTGACTTGGGACATGGGTCAAATGAATGTATGAACCTAGGCTAAGGGAGAGACATTCTACATCTCTGTGTAGTATGTGTACTCGGTCTGTATTAATAACTGTCGCTTAAGTGTGAAAATTGCACTTGTAAGATTTGTAATCCTGCATTCAACATAGAGGGAGAGTCATACAGAGAGTCATAATTGACCACTATATAACATTTTTCATGAAATGAGCTGTAAAATAAACTTGCCTAACTAGATGACTGACACTTGAGATAACCAGATATTTTCAAATGTGTTAGCATCAGTTAAAACCAATTTGTTTGTCTTGTACAAAAGAGAACGCTTTTTGTCTAAACATCTGGACACGTTAAAAGTGGTAAGCTTGAGATATATTAGCTGGATGCTGTTAAGCCTCCTCACTCTTTGAATTGTCATGATCAAATATTAATGGTCCATCAGCAATGCTCAGAGGGAGCTTATATTGCATTTGTGAGTAAAGCTTTGGTAATGTACAGTGGATCTATGCACTTTTTTTTTCCAAAATCCCAGGGCACTGGGCCATTCAAGGCTAGCATTGCATTTTCAATTAGATTCTGAGTGAATCCCTGGCATGTGCAGAAGCAAAACTGGTACACAATTAGCTCATTGTTGCTTTAGCTTTGTGCGGAGAGGATCTAAAGGACTGAAGAAAAAAAAAAAGGAGCCAGTTACAAGAACTGCTATTGATGTGGAATAAGGGAGTTGCTTATTTCATGCAGCAGCACTTGATAACGGAGAAACTACAGCTATCATCAAATAGCACAGAGAGTCTCTTTAAAGGCGTGTGCCAAGGGCAAAACACTTGGACTTCTTGGTTAATTGGGGGTGTAATTTTTTTTGCAAAACTGCCATCAGTACAATATGGAACCCAACAGTCCCAAAAAGATACATTTGCAGTTCCATTATTTCAAAGTCAGCTGGATCCAGAAGCATCAGAACAGGTAAATAATATTTTTTTTTCATTTTCTGACATTGAAAGTAACGTTGTATTCACATATTTTCAAATTGTGGCTTGAAATATTTCATGGTTGTCATTTGATTTAATGATATGTGTTTAATTGTTTCAACGTGGTATACTCAGCACCTTACATTAATAGCAAAATCGTTTCATATTTCTGAAGTACATTTGCAACAAACGCATTTAGAAATAGGTCTCTACGCCTTTCCTTTACAGTCTGCTACTCCTTAATATCACTCACTCAGTACCCTGCTGTTAATGATGGGCCCCATTCACTTTCTTAAAAGGTCTTGTGAAATTATAACCCAACTGTAATTTTATTTTATCTGCATCCACTTGCTGTGCTTTTTTTTTTCCCCACAAAACCCATTTAATTGGTTCCACGCAGTAAGAAAATGTATGACCTCTGATTTTCTGCATTGTAAAGAAATGTTTTATGTTATATTTGCTGTAATACCTTTTGGAATGTGCAGTTCTTTCTGACGTGGCTTTAATGTAAACATGGAAGGAACCATGGTCTGCTTAAAAACTCTGTAATGTTAAAACTTGGGTGAATGTCCATTATTAATATATTTGTGTAAATATCCTCTAATTGTGACTTTTATGATTTTCACACTAAATACTTTAATAATCGTAATATTTGGAGGTCATACATACACTATATACATTTTCTTAAAATGGGTTTGTTAAGCAACTTCTTTCTGCCAATAGTAGTACATGGTTTGTGCTCTTATTTAAGTTAATAAAGTAATTATTTTATTGATTGTAGCCTTTATAATCTGTGGATCCATGCATATATCATTTACAAAATACCAGAGGTCACTTGAAGCAGTTCAGATTTGCATGGCTCAAAGCATTGCAGATTCCAGGTTTGCCAAATCCACATGTTCTAATTAATCCACATCTTGATTGATCTTGATTGATCATGTCTAGAAGATGACTCACAATTGGACTTTTTTTTTTTTTTAAGAAAGAATGCGTGGATGGGTACAATATATGTATCATCTATATACCAATTAATAAAATCCACCTGGTTGGGTGAGGCTGCATTAAGAGGGGAAAAAGGAGAGTTGTATAGGGTGCACTGTGTAAAAAGAAACTCATATGAGGTCTTCAATCTCAAGGCCACTAGTCCAGGGGAAAGTAGCTGGAAAAGCCTAGGGGGCACTCAGGCTGCACTATACAGGAGCAGAAGCACACTCTGGTAAAATGCATAAAGGAAAAGAAGGCGCCTCTAAGTGCAATAAGATGTTGATTGGGTAAGCAAGGATTAAAAACACTCTCCGGAAAATTGTGTATATATACATATAATATATCCAGCTCATCAATCCCACTGCTCGTTCTCCTGTCCTGGATAGGAGCCAGGGAGAACCAGCCATAAGTGTTACAGTGGGATTAATGAGCATGATATCTACACGATTCCTTTGTGTGTTTTTTTTTTAAATCCTTGCTTACCCAGTAACCATTATCTTTATTGCACTTAGAGATGCTGCCTTTTCCTTTTTGCCTTTTAAGAGAGAAAAGATTGTGCACATTTCTATTGGGGGAAGGGAATGAGCAGGCATTGTATGAATAGATTTACCAGCAGTTATGAACATTTGTGATAAGCATATGTATTATGCTGACCACCTACCTGAGAATTTAGCCTGCCAATTTAATCTGTTACACGTGTCCTCTAATCCTGACACAAATACAGGGGCCTGTCTGGTGGCCTCCTTACTCTCAAACTGTAAATTCACCCAACTGTTTAGTGTATGCAGTTAGATGAGCTGGAACAAACACCAAGCTAAAGGGGTTGATTTACTAAAGGCAAATAGGCTGCACACTGCAAGTGCAGTTGCTTTAGATCCGAGGGGAAGCTCTGTTGATTTTTCATCCAATCATGTGCAAGCAAAAATGCTTTTTTTAGTGTGTATTGCTTGCTGTGGTCAGGATAAACATCAAGGGTGCCTCAAACTGACTTAAGGCGGGCATACATTCAAGATATGTTTTACCATTCTGTGTGTATGGGGTTTCAGCATACAAAATTGTGAATACTGTTTTTCTGTTGCCAACATAGAAAATATAACTGGAATGTAAGTGATTAAGGCAGGACTCCAGTCTAAACAAACTAGTATAGTTCTTAACGGCAAAACTGTTTTGACCTCTATGTTAACCTTTTACCAATTCTGTATCCATTTTGCCTAGCTAATCCGAGTCAGAGGTTTGCCTATACAAGTGTATCTCAATAAATTAGAACATCATCAAAAACTTAATTTATTGCAGTAATTCAATTCAAATAGTGAAACTCCTATATTGATTCATTACACACAGATTGATATATTTTAAGCATTTCCTTCTTTTAATTTTGATGATTATGGTTTACAGCTAGTGAAAACCCAAAATTTAGTATCTCAGAAAATTAGAATATTACATATGACCAAAAAAGGATTTTTTAATACAGAAATGTTGGCTTACTGAAAAGTATGTCCATGTACAGTATAATATGCACTCAATACTTGGTCGGGGCTCCTTTTGCATGAATTACTGCATCAATGCTGCGTGGCATGGAGGTGATCAGCCTGTGGCACTTCTGAGGTGTTACGGAAGCCCAGGTTGCTTTGATAGCGGCCTTCAGCTTGTCTGCATTGTTGGGGTATGGTGTCTCCCATGTTACTCTTGACAGTGCCCCACAGATTCTCTATGGGGTTTAGGTCAGGCGAGTTTGCTGGTCAATCAAGCACAGTAATACCATGATCAATAAATCATTTATTGGTACTTTTGGCAACACGGGCAGGTACCAAGTCCTGCTGGAAAATGAAATCAGCATCTCCATAAAGCTGGTCAGTAAGAGGGAAGCATGAAGTGCTCTAGAATTTCCTGGTAGAGGGCTGCACTGACTTTAGACTTGATAAAACACAGTGGACCAACACCAGCAGATGACATGGCTCCCCAAATCATCACTGACTGTGGAAACTGTACACTGGACCTCATGCAACGTGGATTCTGTGCCTCTCCTCTCTTCCTCCAGACTTTGGGACCTTGATTTCCAAATGAAATGCTAAATCTACTTTCATCCGAAAAGAAGACTTTGGACCACTGAACAACAGTCCAGTCCTTTTTTTTTTTTTTTTCTTTCCCCTTAACCCAGGTAAAATGCTTCTGACGTCTCTGGTTCAGGAGTGGCTTGACACAAGGAATGCAACAGTTGTAGCCCATGCCCTGGTTACGCCTATGTGTAGTGGCTTTTGAAGCACTAAAACCAGCCATAGTCCACTCCTTGTGAATCTCCCAAAAATTCTTGAATGGCCTTTGCTTCACAATCCTCTCAAGGCTGCTGTTATCCCTGTTGCTTTTGTACCTTTTTTTCCTACCACACTTTTTTTTCTTCGATTAATGTGCTTGGATACAGCACTCTGAACAGCCAGATTCTTTTGCAATACCTTTTGTTATTTGCCCTCCTTGTGGAGGGTGTTGATGATGGTCTTCTGGACAACTGTCAGGTCAGCAGTCTTCCCCATGATTGTGTAACCTACTGAACCAGACTGTAGACCATTTAAAGGCTCAGGAAACCTTTACAGGTGTTTTGAGTTAATTAGCTGATTAGAGTGTGACACCATGAGTCTAAAATATTGAACATTTTCACAATCTAATTTTTTGAGATATTGAATTTTGGGTTTTCACTAGCTATAAGCCATAATCAAAATGAAAATAATGAAATGCTGGAGATTTATCACTCTGCGTGTAACGAATCTATATAATATGAGTTTCACTTTTTTTTTAATTGAATTACTATTACTATTATTAAGTAAAGTTTTAATGATCTCCTAATTTATTGAGATGCACTTGTATATTTTGAAGCATTTGCCTATATCTGTGGAAGCTGCACTAACTTGTCAAGGCCCTCTGTATAGTGCTGTTCTAACTCTGTCCATTACTACATACACTATATTGCCAAAAGTATTGGGACACCCCTTCAAATAATTGGATTCATTATTTACAATAACCTCCATGGTCACAGGTGTATAAAATCAAGCCCATAGGCATTCAGACTGTTTTCTACAAACATTTGTGAAAGAATGGGTCTTTCTCAGGAGCTCAGTAAATTCAAGCGTGGTACCTTTTATAGGTGCAATAAGTCCATCCGTGAAATTTCCTTGCTACTAAATATTCCTTGGTCAACTGATAGTGGTATTGTAACAAAAGTGGAAGCAGCTGGGAACAAGAGCAACTCAGCCACAAAGTGGTAGGCCGTATAAAAGGACAAAGCGGGGTCAGCGCATGCTGAATTGCGTAGAAATCACAGACTCTCTTCAGAGTCAATAGCTAAAGACCTCCAAACTTTCTGGGGCCTTCAGATTAGGACAACAGTGCGACAGGCCTCTTAGTTCCAGTGAAGGGAACTCTTCAGGCATCAGCATACCAAGACATTTTGGACAATTTCATGCTCCCAACTTTGTGGGAGCAGTTTGGGGATGGCCCCTTCCCGTTCCAACATGACTGCGCACCAGTGCACAAAGCAGGGTCCATAAAGACATGGATGAGCAAGTTTGGGGTGGAGGAACTCCAGAGTCCTGACCTCAACCCAATAGAACACCTTTGGGATGAATTGGAGCACGAACTGCGAGCCAGGCCTTCTCGTCCGACATCAGTGCCTGAGCTCACAAATGTGCTTCTGGAAGAATGGTCAAACATTCCCATAGACACACTCCTAAACCCTGTGGACAGCCTTCCCAGAAGAGTTGAAGCTGTTAGAGCTGCAAAGAGTTAGCCAACTCAATATTGAACCCCCACGGACTAAGACTGGGATGCCATTAAAGTTCATGTGTGTATACTTTTGACAATATAGTGTATGTTCTAGCATAGAGACTCTCAAAGATTACAGTAGCAAGAAATGTCGTTTTTTTTTTTTTTGTTTTTTTTTTAAGGGTCCCCCCCATGAGCTGGTATCCATAATGTGCCAATATGCACCAGTCAATCCTGTTGGTCACAGGTGCTCCCTTC